TAAACATTCATATTTACACACACAACACTCAAATCATTAATATTACATAAAAAATTAACACTATTGTCACTTTTTAAAATAGAAACACACATTTTAATTTATAGGTTTAAAGCACCAAAGTAATATATATTTAAATGTAAAATTTTAGGTGCGAGACAGGTAAATACATAGGAAATGCTTTAACGTATGTAAATTTCCTAATATTCAAAATCTGAAAGCTTTCCTATCTCTCTCCCAATAGGATGCAGTAAACAATGTGAAGCAGCAGTGCAGTGACTTTGTTATGACCAGAAACATTCAGTGCCGCGAAATGCTCGAGGATGTGCAGAGACAAATGGCTGGGCTAAACTTTGGTTCGGGTCCGTCGAACCCCTCAAGAACCGGCTCCCATCCAGCAACGGATCCACAATCGGCATCCCGGTTCTCCTTTAAGTTACCTTTTTTCCACCAACCCGCTCAGCACCCAAGGCCTGAGTTCTCTCAGCCATCATATCCAAATTACACGCCGCAGCTGCCACAGCCGCAGCCGTCTTACCAGCAGTATGCCAATCAGCCACCCAGCCATGACTACAGCCAGCCAGCTTACCCAGGTTGGCGTGGCCCGTATTATAACACACCGCCACAGCAGCCGGGTACCGGACACCCCCCGCCGCCGCCTTACAATGTTCCTCAGAATTATCCACAGGGCGGTTATTACCGTCCCCAGTAGAGCATCAGTCTCAACGCTTGCATATATCTAAACATCATTTATTGTAGTCCTCTTGTGATGATTTATCTTTTGTTGTCCAAATGATGTGAGATATTTGTAAATAAATTTGTCATAGTTTGCTTCTTTCATGTCATGGATTGTTATTTAAAACTTTATACAAGGAGACGTTATTTGTTTTGTAAATATGGATATTTATGCTTTTTTGTTTGATCTTTTCTATTGAACTTTTCAGGCACATTGTCATAGCTTGTGAAGGCTTTTGGCTTTGGATTCCAGTGGAATCCTTTTTCTTAGGGGGCATTTACATTCATACCACCCAATTCCTATATATTTAGGTATCCAACAACTTTACTTTCACATTTATACCCCCCAAATCATTCAATATCACATCAAAATTCCTGAAATACACCTTTTCATGAAACTTGATGTTTATATGTTAGATACGTAAATACATGTGAATCGAGCGGTATGTATGTAAATATTCCTTTTTTTTAATTATTTGAGTGGGATGATGAGATCTTCAGTTTATCAGTTTCAAATCTGATGAAATATGTAGTTTGCATTAAGCCCAATTATGTTATTAGTTTGGTTCTTGCTAGAAAATTTGGATTCTATACACTTATCCTTTATCTGAGTGATTATAGCAGAACATTTGGACAGTTTGATAGCCTTCAGATTTGAATTAATGTAATGTCAGTTCTAATTGATTAAATGCATATCTTCATCTATTTTATTTATCTGCTAATTCAAAGTTTGTTACCTTAGAAGCTCATAAGTGGTGGAGAGATAACAAGTAAATGGAGCTGTATAGCATTTGTGTGCCACCATCACCATGTCAGTCTGGTGAGGATGAGGTAAGCAAAGCATCAATTCCTGTTGTTACTTCCACTCTGCAATTTACTATTCAAATATCTGTTTTTCTAAGAAAATAACTGCACTTTTACATACATATCAGCCAGTGTAGGAAGTTGCAGATGCATACCACTCAATTCTTATATTTACATATTTGACAAATTTTAGGCGCTAGATATGTAAGTATATATTAATAGGGTTGTGTGTATGCATATGCGTCTGAAATATAATGAGACAATAAAATGATTCTATAGTAGTTGATTGTTGTGGGGTTATCAC